ACACTAAGGAAATGGCCTTGTTGGAGATTCTAAGGAACAGCGAAGAAGCAGTTAATCAGACATACATTTCATTCCATTTAAAAAATATTTACTATTGTAGTTTAATGTTTGGAAATTTAAAAATATCTTTAGGATGAAGCACTGTGATTTTCCTTTTGTGTGCCAGCTGGAGGCATTTTTGAAATGACAAACTTTCCTTTACGAAGATAATATAAGCTGCAGGAGACCCAACAAGAGTGTTTAAAAAACAAACCAAAAGAAAAAAGAAAACAAAACCCCACCATTAACAGCCCAAATTACAAAACCTTCTTTATTTGGTGTGAGGCTAGCGCTGAAAGCAAGCCCTAGTTTAGAGCAACTTATCTGTGTGCCCATTTTTCCAATAGTGAAGAGCATCGTTAGAGATATAACGTCCACCTGAGAGGGAGAAAGTTTTTTTTTCTTAAATTACTTATTATTGCAATAACATATCAATTGAGTCACTTTCCGAAAACCCTTTTCTAGATCCTCCCAGTTTCCAAGACCACTCGGGTCTAAACAGAGAGGGAGTATTTTTTGAATAAAAACAAAACAAAACAAAACAAACAAAACAAAACCCCCCAAACCTTTCTATTTAGAAATCAAAACAAAGACCCCAAAGAAGGCTTGAACATTTTCAAATTAGAATTTCTAAAGACGACGCACCCAGAGAGTGACCTCAGAGTTCTGGGTTAGTACTGATTCTTCAGCCCGAAATCGAGCACAGTTTTATTAACAAATGTTACCAGAGAGAACAATGTATATATATATTTTTTCTAACTAAAATCTAGCTTTTAAAAAATTAATTTGCTCCCCGCATTGCCGGATTACATTTTCATTTAACTTCGGTGCCGTGCCTTATAATTGGTTTTTCTTGATCTTGTTTTCTTGGAAAAAAAGAAAGTAGAAAGGAAAAAAAAAAAAAAAAGGCGGGGGGGGGGGAAGCAAGCTTGTAGGTCGCAGTTAAAATATTTTCCTTTATTACGCCTGGCGGGAAGAGAACCCACAACACTGAACCTGGGCGACGGGCGAGTCTCTCGCCCCCAAACCTCAGCATCTCGCCGTAGGATCTTCGGGCGTCGCGTGAAGCCGCGGACGGGCGGCTCGCGGCGTATTTGGGAGAGGGCCGGGGCCGGGCCGGGGTCGGGGCCGGGGCCGGGGTCGGGGCCGGGGCCGGGGCCGGGGTCGGGGTCGGGCAGGGGCCGCGGGGGCTTCGGGGGGCCGCGGGGCTCGCCTTCGGCAACTTGTGGGCGCTGGCGGGGCCGTCCCGGGCTCGCCTGCCAAGCCCCCTTCCTGCGCCCGCTTTGTCTGGCGCGCCCCGCACAGCCTCGAGCTGGCGGAGGGACCCGCCGGGGGACAGAGCCGCCTTCGGTGACGTCTGCGCCCTGCAGGGGACTGGGGCGTCCGAGCGCTGCGGGGGCTCGGCACGCAGGAGATTAAAGAGTTTTATCCCAACGCGGTACGTGCCGGGGTCAGACAGCGTTTCCCTTCAGCCGAACTACGGAGCGGAGCTTCATTTCCTATCTCACTGCTTCCCCCGAAAGAAACTTTTCTTTCTGTTTTGCTTCCCCTCCCCCCTCCCCCCGCCCCCACCTCCACCTCCTCCACCCTCCGCCGCCCCCGCCCCCGCCCCACCGCGTGCCCCGGAGTCCGGGGCAACGGTCCTCGGCCCGAGGCCGGTCCCTCGGAGCCCGGGAGCCCCGGCGAGCGCCTGGCGGCTGTGAATACCGGCAGCTCCGGGCGGGGCGGGCGCGGGCGCGGGGCGGGCGGACACCCAACGCGGCCCTCGGCTGGGCGCGCCGCCCCCGCGCCCCGCGCCCGACCCCGCACCCCGCGCCCCGCACCCCGCAGGGTCACGGCCCCGGGGCCCCGGGGCCCCGGCAGGGCCGAGGCCAGATGCCGCCGCGTCCGGGGCCACTCGGCGCTCCCTGCCCCCGCGGCCCCTCCCCGGCCCCTCCCCGGCCCCGGCCCCGGGCCCCCGCGAGTGCGCCCCCCGCCCCCCGCCGCTCGCGGCCGCGTCTCCCGGTTCCCGCGCGGACGGCCGAGAAAACGCGCAAACTGAACCGCGTTGGGCACTTTTGCTCCACTTGAGCGGGAATCGGAGGAGCCCCGGCGAGAGCCCGAGGGGAGAGGCCGCAAGGACGGCGGCGGGTTGGAGGCCGCGGCGTCGGCGCACGGTGCCCGCGGACCGTGGCTCCCTTCCCCGCCCGCAGACCCCCGCGCACATTTTTTTTTTCCTCCAGAAGCTGATGTTTCACTTGCTCTTAGTTTTTCTTTTTTAGTGGTATTGGTCATAATTAAACAAAAAAGTAATTAGCGGTCGCTGGGCATCAGCGCGCCAGGAGCGCGGGGGGCTCCCTCCCGTCCCTCCGGGGAGGCCGCGGTGGGGGCTCTTTGGGCCAGGTGGACGGTGCTGTAGGGTTAAGAAGCGTCAGACCTCGGAGAAGGGCCTCACTTCCTCTTCGTTTTGTAGCCCTTTGTGTTACATACGGGGGCAAGCAAGGTCTGCCAATCACTACCATTTCTCTTTCTTGTTCTATAAAGACAGGGTCGTCACAGCAACAGGGACATGACAGGCTGGTATCTCTCTCGAGCTCCAGGGGGCCCCTAATAGGATTGAAGCAAAAGATCAAGCGAATGGTTTCCTATTTTAGGCCCGTAATAACTCCCAACTGCTTGCATATACATGGGCCTTACAGTATTATGAGGCAATTTTTAATCCCAGCAAAGAGTAGCCTGTTTTCTAGCAGAGTCTATTTTAGAAAACCCTACGGGAGCCACCCTCCCTCACCACCCTCCATCCTCATGTGCCCCTCTTCTCTGTGTTTGAGGGGCTGGCGGCAAATACCACCGCCCCCCCCCCACCTCCTGATTTCACTTATCACCCCTCCCCCAGAAGCTGAAGGTACCACTTCCTTTCATTAATTCATTTTACCAGCTCAAAGTAAATACTCCGTTTAGAAGGAACAAAGACACCCCTCTTTGGTATTCAGTTGAAGTCCCCTGTGGGATCAGAAGTTTGCACGTCTTTTGGAGAAACTGGCCTCCTCCGATGTGGCTTAGCCAGACACCCCCACCCCATAACCCTCCAACAAACACACACCTACAAAAAAACACAAAGCGACTGAAGGAAGAATGAAAAGGTCTCTCTCCCCCAGGGCCATTTATGTTCAAAACGCAACGGTGAAGTCGCGGGGAGGTAGAGAGGGTGTGTGTGGCATGTGGATGTCCCGGGTGTGCTTGTGGGGTAGAGAGAGGAAACAAATGAAATGTGTGGGATAAGGCCGCGGTTTGTTTTCACCCCCAAGACCTGGGGAAACCCATCAAATGAGACTGACTTCAAAAAACCAAGACTGCCTGGGAAATCTGAATGCAAACATCCCTAGAATAATCAGCACCACCAACATCTGTCACCGCAGCTGTTTCCTTTCTGGTTGGTGAGAGAACCTGTCTCTCTCCCCTGGGCTGGCAGTGAACTCCAAGCAACGGGCCCTGGGTCTTGTTCTTCCAAACAGAATCCTGTATGTTTCAGTGCTCTTAGCCTCTTAGAGATAAAACACGAGGCAAAACAAACATGACATTGCCACCTTTTAGGTGAAAATAAGTAGCTTTGTAAAGTAAGTTAAGAAGCGTTTTTGTTATGTTGTCATAGGTAGGGAAACTGAGGCACAGGGGCAGCCAGGGAACTTTCAAATTATTGTCCAGGGAGTAATCAGTATTGAGGAATTCAGTCTTGAGCCTACTGGGTTCTGCTAGGTGTCTTGGAAGGCACTGGGTTAAAAAGAGAGAAAGAGAGAGAAAGGTAAGAATTTTTATGGCTGGTTTTCCTTTTCATTTGATCAGAAGATCATTGTTGAGCATCTAGAATGTGGAGGACAAAATGCTTTGTTATGGAGGGGTGAAGAATGAAATCTGGTCCCCGACCTAAGAGAAAGTGTGTTCCAGGAGGGGCACTGTGATATAGCAACGTGGTGGTGCGGTCTGAGGTTATGGGAGGGAGGTCTGACAAGGGAACTGGGAATGTCTGGCTGAGGTGACCTGCAGATACTTCACTAGACGAAGTGGCCTTGGAGTTTCCAGGAAATGAAAGTTGACTGAGGTTCTGATAGGTAGAGGCAGGAGGGGATGTTGAAGATGCAGAGAACGGTATGCATTCACAGTCACCAGGAAACAAGCAAATTAAAATTTCAGGGGCTGGAAAAAAATTTTTTTCAGGGGATGGGGGAGATAAGGCAGGGATGAAAGGATAGAGCTACTGCAGGGCTGAGACTTTTTGACTTTAGCCAGTGGACAAGGAGAGCCCCGAAGTGACAGAGTTAGGGGGCATTTGTTGTGGGTGAATCCAGGGGTGATGTCCAGGCCGGGTCTGGGGTTGGGGAGGCTGTGGTAGGCCTGAGGTAGGAGGGCTGCTGTTGCAGGACAGTGGCATAGGGATGGAAAGAAAAAATGATCGTGCAAGAATCGGATGGACGTAGGGCTCAGAATGCAGAGGCAGGTCAGAGGTGACTGAGCCTTCAAGCCTGGGCGACCAGGGAAAAAAAGACAGCCTCGTTATGTGCAAGGAATTAATATAACATTTAAACCCAGCATTACATGCAGAATGTTTAGAACATCAAGAGCGTCATGAAAACATAGAAATTCAGATACTGACATTGATAAGCTTTTACCAGTGTTGAAGAGCTTTGTTTATCAAAGACAGACACTTGGCCTCATGGTTGAACCCCAGCCAGACTTAAACCTCGTGTCTCAGAGCCTTTGTGGGGTGGATTTAGAAGCATCCTGTTAAAAAAAAAAAAAAAAAAAAAAAGCATATTTTCTTCAAGGCATATTATGCATCCTTAGCACTTATTTCAATTTTTATGCCATTATTGAGAAAGGAAGTTAGAGAAGGATATCCCAGAGGCATTTTCTTCTGCAACTCCCAGGCATGAGGAAATGTTCAGGTGTTAAAATTGTTCTGTGTTTATTTACTTATTTTTCAGTTACATCCAGTGTTTGCCTGAGAATATTCCAGAGGGCAGATGCCTGAATCATCATGCAGCCAATGCAGGCCAGAAGGACGGATAATAGTGAAATGGCACTGGACTGGGCCTCTGGGTCAAGTTCCCTTCTCGGTTATGCCAACAAGGCTATTATACTCTGTACTCTCAATGAGAGCAGTACTCTCTGGGCCTGATTTTGCCCCCAGAAAAATGAGGTGAGTCAAATGATCGTGAAGGTTCTTAAAGGCCCTTTCCAGCTCCAGGCCCGTGGATCATTGAGGCTACTCTTTCTCTGAATTTTCCCAGCAGTTTCATCTTTATTGTCTGTATTCTGATTTGCAGGTGCAAACAGAAAAGATATTAATATTGGATGGTTTAGACTTTATTCTGGATTTTAATTACTTCATTTGCATTGAACTTTATAAATACTTGGAAAGCAGCATGCCATCCATCCTCACTGGGTCCACAAAACTACCATATGAAGTGAGTCAGCCGGGCATTTTATCCCCAAATGTATAATAGCTAATGATAATCATTTCCTTTCATGGAGCCCCTGTATGTGCTAACCTGTGGCTTCCATTAAATGTCTCATTTACTCACCATAATACCTGATAGATATTGTTATGCCCACTTTACAGATCAGAAAGCCAAGGCTAATAGGAGTTGGGACTCACTGAATGCAGTCTCCTCATCGATGGCTGAGTCAGAATTTGAATCTGGGTATCTTAGCTCCAGTTTCAAGCTTTCTAAGGTCTGGGCAAGTTATGCAAGGCCTGCCAACTATCTCCTTCTCCTACTCAATATTCCTTACATATATTTACCATCCATATGATCAAAGGACAATGTTGGCCAGTATGGCCTTCCATGGCCTTGTCATTGAAACATAAGAGATTTAAACCAGGCAAACTGTTAACAAATGTTTATCAGGCACCCCCTGCATGTCTAATACTCTACCATGGGCTGAAGAAACACTAGAAATATCTCATTCTATAAGGATTTTACAATCCTAGATGGTGAAACCAAGAGAGCCAGTAAAATGTCAGTAAATGGGTGATATAATGTATCATAATGGAAATGACCCAACTTTATAGAACACTCACTCTGCTCCCACTGTGGCCTAGACAATTAGGTGTGATTCTCCTATGACAATTAGGTGTGATTCTCCTATGACAAGTCTATGCAGTGGCACTCTTTACATCTCTTTTAGGGAGGAGGATTCCGAGAGTATGGTTCAGTCACTGCTGGATGTCCCACAGCTGGCAAGTGGCAAAGCCAGGATTTTATCTGGGGCCTCTGACCACAAAGTCCACTTTCCTTCCCTGTGCCACACGGCTTCTCATTCTTGACACATTATGCATACATAGGTCAAGGTGGGAGGTACAGATGTCTGGAAATAGGAAAATTCAGGGTTTTGAAATGTGATAAGACATTCTCTGTGATATGCTGGACAGGAAAAGGGTTTTATAACCTTGCCTTACAGTGGAAAATAAATACCATAGGGAATTTTTAAAGTACTGCAGGAGAGAAGAAATCAGTGGGCATTGGGATTTGGAGAAGACAGGCTTTGGGTCTGAAAGCTGGGTTCAGATCTTGACCTCATGATTTACAAGCTGAGGTTAATCTCTCTACGCCTCAGTATTCTTGTCTGTAAATAGGGTAATGATATGTCTCTGTTTCAACTTATGATATGGCATTTGAAATGTCTGACAGGATGACTGGCCCCATGGCAGATGCTCAGGAAAATGACAGTTACCTGAGGCAGCTGTACAGTGAGAGCCTGTTGACAAAACCTACAAATAACATGTTGATTCAAAGTGAAGACAGTTGGAGAATTTGTTATTTAGCCAAGGGCTTCCTTGCCCTGGGTTTTGATTCATTTCCTGGTGTTTTTACTGTTGGAATTAATAGGTAAGCCAAGAAGACCTGGTTCTGGCTATCTATTGCTGCATAATAAACCACCCAAATCAGTGGCTTAAGGCAACACTCATTTATTTTGTTTATGAGTATGAGGGTTGACTGGGCTTAGCTAGGCAGTTCCTGCTCAGAGTTCCTCAGACAATCGTAGTCAGGTAGTTCTGGGGCTGGGGTCATCTGGAAACTTCTTCACTCTTGTATCTGAAGTCTGGGCTGGAAGACTCAATGAGTTGGGGCTCCTTGGACATCTCTCTCTAGGTGGTGTCCCCACATGGTGTCTCTGGAAAACTAACAGAAGACCAGGGGGAGTCCTCAGTGACCTGCTCAGGTCCTGTGCCCATTCCTGAACCAATCACTGTGGCCAGAAGGAGGCTGTGCTTTGATTGGGTGAACCCAGATCATGGGCTTCTCCTGGGTCAGCCCCATGAGACTGCGAGTGGGAAAATGATGATTCTCAGGGGAAAACTGAAGTGGAGATGGATGATGGAAAAGCAAGGTTATTACTGTCTTGTGGAGTTCTTTGCTTCTCACTGTTGCTCAAAAGATACTTGTTATGGTAATTATGGGTGGGGATAAGTCTAACACCCCTTGCATAGAGGTACCAGACCAACCGGTGGCTTCTCTGCCTGGACTGGAGGCTGCACACCATACTGTTGCCTTGGGGTTGGCGTGGCAGGCAGCCTGAGGGTTTTATGAACTCTACGCTTTGGCCAGACTTGCCTTTTCCTACATCTGTATCTTTGCTTCCGTCATCTCTTCTACTTAGAATGGCCTTCCCACCCATTCCCACTATTTGGAATTATATCCCCCAATTTGTAAGATCCAATTTATGGTCATTTTTAATAAGATTTTATTTATTTGAGAGGCACAGAGAGAGAGAGAGAGACATAGGCAGAGGGAGAAGCAGGCACCCCATGGGGAGCCTGATTGGAACTTGATCCCAGGACTTCAGGATCACAACCTGAGCCAAAGACAGATGCTCAACTACTGAGCCAACCAGGTGTCCCAATTTATGGTCATTTTAGTCAAAGGCAAACTTTTGGCCAGTCTTTATGGCCTTGCTGCTCAAAGTGTGGTCGAAGTGCCATCTGCAGCAGTGTCACCTGGGGACTTGTCAGAATCTTGGTCACTTCAGATCACTTGATCAGATCTCCCTATCAGAGCCTGCATTTTAATACGATTCCCAAGTGGTTTATAGCCACATTAAAGTTTGAGCCACACCACTCCAGAGCAGTGGTCCTTACAGAGTGGTCCAAGGAACCACTTTCAGGGATCTGAGAAGTCAAGACTCTTTTCCACACTAAAACTTCTCATCTTGCTTTTGGCACTGGGTTAGTGAGTATCTTGTGAGGCCTGCCTCTACTTCCTTATCCTTGAGAGAAAGCAGGAGTCCTGGGGTTTCTCCCTTCTCCTGGGCATCCAGCTCCATGGATTTCCTTTGTTTGGCTCAGGCTTTGACACTGAGCCTTAGAATATCAATATTTGCAAAACACTTTGAAAATTAGGAAATCCTTTTGGGTAACTAAAAATAAAAAAAATTAGATTAACCCCCTGCCTCATCCTTTCATTTATGACACTTTTCACTCTGCAGCTCACACTGTCCACCTCTCTAGAGGCAGAGGAGGAATTCTTGTTCTCATTTGAAGAATAGTGACCGAGATGAAGAGGAGGTGTGTGGCTTGCTAACATCACAGAAGGAGCCAGTGTCATCCAGGACTTGGTTCTCAAAGTGCCTAGACCAGACTTCTTATCACTGGGCTGTTGATCTCGGAATCCATACATGAGCCCAGTGGTGTCCTGGATGCCTTACCACCACGAACAGCTGAAACACCAAGTGGTGGTGAAGCCAGCCAGCCACTCGGGTACCAGAAACAGAGTGCAGGTGATGCGGATGTGGGCATCTCTGCGGGGGCTGAGGCTCATCCGCCTCTTCTGGAAATCTGTTCATCCATCCAGGGCTTTCTGCGTTCCCTACCTGTACTTAGGGATCTCAGTTCTTTCTTTCAGCTGTGGGAGGAAATTTGCACTCTTACCATTCTGACTCTGCACATAAGGAAAAAGGCTTCCAGGGTAACTGGCTCAGAGACACAGCAGGTAAGTGGCAGATCTGCCACTTTGGAAGACCTGCCTCTGCTTCTGTGAAATCCCTCTGGCCCTCTTTCCTGATGGTCTGACTTTCCTAAGGGGTTAGATTTATGATCCCCATAATACCTGCTCAGTCTGATCTGGTCATTGAGAAGGGCTGTTCTAAGACCAGCTTTTGGAATCAGAACTCCTTGAGGCTGGACTGCAGTTTCCCCCACCTCTCCCCATACTCCTTCCCTCCTCCCCACTCTCCCAGCTTTCCCATTCTCTCCCCTTCCCCACCTTCCCCCTTCCTTCCTCCTCCTTTCCTCCCTCTTTCTTTTTCTTCTTCCTTACTTCCTGCTCCTTCTTTTCTCTCTGTCGCCCCCCCCTCCTTCTCCCTCTCTCACTCTTCCTTCTCCTCCTAAGAAGCTTTTGGAATCTTAAGAAAGTGTTCTGTAAGAGGATGGAGTCTTCCTTTTCTAGGGTTAAAAGCATTGCCATTCCTGGTGCAGAGATGTTCTGGGTAAAAGCCCCTACCGCCCCCACCATGCCTTCCCTGACACCCTCACCACAGAAATGGTGAGGAGCCTGATGCTCTGAGGATCTCCCAGCCCATAGAGGGCAGCCTCATCTTCCCATCCCACCCCCTGCCCCCCAGGCACTTGAAATCACACATTCTCAATCCACCAGGCTCTGTTTCTACGCCCCACTCCATCCAAGGCAAACTGTCCATTACCCAGCGTTAGGGACTCAGGTGGGGGGCCAGGAAGCTATGGAGAAACCAGCTCATTGAAATCCAGATAATCCCTAAACCTCATTTTCCCTATTGCATATGACTGCCTTTCTGCCCTGCCCCCTTTTACAGGATCGCCAAGAAGCCACCAGACCGCTTTGCCTGGCACTCCTTTTATCTTTCTGGCCTGAGGGGGCCATGGGCTAATGATCAGTGAAATCAGGAAAGGCCAAGAGGCCCAGCTAATCCACAAATTGGATCATCCACCCCTGAATAATCAAGAGTTGCTGGCACAAAAGTTGGTTTCTCTCTTTGATCATCAGCACACTCAAAACACACCTACATTTGCTTCTTGTGGGAGCCCTCTGGTGAGTTAAAGCCTGGTTCTGTTTGGCCAAATAAAATTCAGAAGTAGGACTAAAAGAATCCAGTGTCCCAGTATCCCAGGGGGACTGTTTCAGTGTAATATCAGGGAGAAGATGGCAATGAAAAGAGGTTGTG